GGGGCCCCTTTCCTGACCCCAGGGGGCCGGCCCCACCCCCACCCGCCCCCCCACCAGACAGACGCGTTACAAGGGAAGAAAAACTGCAGACCAGCATCGCTATAAACACAGGTGCAAAACCCTCAACAACTACCAGCCACGTGACCCCAACAGGGTATAGGGCAGTGACGGCGAACCTTGTGAGCTCGGCCTGTCAGCATTTTGAAAAACCCTAACTTCACTCTGGTGCCGTGTCACATGTAGAAATTTTTTGATATTTGTAACCACAGTAAAACAAAGACTTATATTTTTAATATTTATTTTATATATTTAAATGCCATTTAACAAAGAAAAATCAACCAAAAAAATGAGTTCAAGTGTCACCTCTGACACGCGTGCCATAGGTTCGCCATCACTGGTCTAGAGTCACCCCCACGACCAGGTGGGACTCATCCCAGGTGCAAGGTGGTGTGGACCTGAAGTCAGCCCCTGCACGCTCACGGGACACTGGGAGCTCTCCCGCCAGGGGCAGGAGCAAGAGGACAGCCTGTCCCGCCTTCTCAACACCACCCAGGAGCCCAGCTCACACATCGGGGCAGACAGGGAAACTGAGGCCGGGGCTGGGGAGAGGACACAGCTGTCTGTTCGCGACGTCACAATTGCCTGTCAGCACCCAGACCAGCGCACGGCCAGGGCCGGGGGAGGCCGACACTCACATCAGCTACTTTCCTGGCCCAGAAGGCAGGCCAGGCCGCAGGCTGATGGCAGAGGGCCTGCCGGGAACAGCAGTGCCCAGGTCCATGGGGGGCAACAGTGGCCCCGGCAGCCTCCTCAGAGCAGAGGATGGAAGAGTAACAGGGACACCACCGAGGCTGTAACACGCTCCACCCACAGCCAGGGCCCACGCCGGCAGGGACAGCGCCACAGGGATAGGGCCGGCAGGGACAGGGCCGGCAGGGACAGGGCGGCAGGGACAGCGCCCGCAGGGACAGGGCGGCAGGGACAGCGCCCGCAGGGACAGGGCGGCAGGGACAGCGCCCGCAGGGACAGGGCGGCAGGGACAGCGCCCGCAGGGACAGGGCGGCAGGGACAGCGCCCGCAGGGACAGGGCGGCAGGGACAGCGCCCGCAGGGACAGGGCGGCAGGGACAGCGCCCGCAGGGACAGGGCGGCAGGGACAGCGCCCGCAGGGACAGGGCGGCAGGGACAGCGCCCGCAGGGACAGGGCGGCAGGGACAGCGCCCGCAGGGACAGGGCGGCAGGGACAGCGCCCGCAGGGACAGGGCGGCAGGGACAGCGCCCGCAGGGACAGGGCGGCAGGGACAGCGCCCGCAGGGACAGGGCGGCAGGGACAGCGCCCGCAGGGACAGGGCGGCAGGGACAGCGCCCGCAGGGACAGGGCGGCAGGGACAGCGCCCGCAGGGACAGGGCGGCAGGGACAGCGCCCGCAGGGACAGGGCGGCAGGGACAGCGCCCGCAGGGACAGGGCGGCAGGGACAGCGCCCGCAGGGACAGGGCGGCAGGGACAGCGCCCGCAGGGACAGGGCGGCAGGGACAGCGCCCGCAGGGACAGGGCGGCAGGGACAGCGCCCGCAGGGACAGGGCGGCAGGGACAGCGCCCGCAGGGACAGGGCGGCAGGGACAGCGCCCGCAGGGACAGGGCGGCAGGGACAGCGCCCGCAGGGACAGGGCGGCAGGGACAGCGCCCGCAGGGACAGGGCGGCAGGGACAGCGCCCGCAGGGACAGGGCGGCAGGGACAGCGCCCGCAGGGACAGGGCGGCAGGGACAGCGCCCGCAGGGACAGGGCGGCAGGGACAGCGCCCGCAGGGACAGGGCGGCAGGGACAGCGCCCGCAGGGACAGGGCGGCAGGGACAGCGCCCGCAGGGACAGGGCGGCAGGGACAGCGCCCGCAGGGACAGGGCGGCAGGGACAGCGCCCGCAGGGACAGGGCGGCAGGGACAGCGCCCGCAGGGACAGGGCGGCAGGGACAGCGCCCGCAGGGACAGGGCGGCAGGGACAGCGCCCGCAGGGACAGGGCGGCAGGGACAGCGCCCGCAGGGACAGGGCGGCAGGGACAGCGCCCGCAGGGACAGGGCGGCAGGGACAGCGCCCGCAGGGACAGGGCGGCAGGGACAGCGCCCGCAGGGACAGGGCGGCAGGGACAGCGCCCGCAGGGACAGGGCGGCAGGGACAGCGCCCGCAGGGACAGCGCCGGCAGGGACAGCGCCGGCAGAGGTCCCTCTGAGGAGCACGCACGTCCGTCCAGGAAGATGGCACCATAGCCCTGGGGCCACGGCGGGTGACGGTCCAGCAGTGAAGGAGGAACAGGGCTGACAGGCACCACATGGCACATTCAAGGGTCCCACAGCCCAACATGAGCTGCAGACACACCCGGGGGGGCAGGGAGCGTGGAGGCAGCAGCCAGTGAGGGGTGCAAGCTCAGACCCCCATCGCAGTGAGACGAGTTCAAAGGGATGGCCCTGACACCTGAGGGGGCAGGTCTGTCCCCCCAGCTCCCACCAGCATCCACGCCCAGTCAGGTGCCCACCTGGTCACTGGGTTCTGACCCCACAGCGTCCCCGCCCCCCGGTTCTGACCCAGTGCCCCCCACCCCCAGCGCAGCGCCCGGGCCGGCACTCACTCTCCTCGTCGACTTTCAGCTCCTGGTGGCTCTTTATCTTCTCAGCAACTTCCCTCTCGTCGTGGCCTTTGCTCACCAAGAACTTCACCTTGTACTCATCCCAGGACACGCGGCCTGAAAGCGCAGGCCATCCTGTTAGAACGTCTGACAACACCCCCTTTAAAACCAGACGCTCTATTTCTGAAACACGTTCCTATTGGTTTCAGAGAGGAAAGGAGGGAGACAGACACCAACGACAATCAGGCAGGCTGCCTCCCGCACGCCCCCTGCTGGGCACGGAGCCCACAGCCCGGGCACGGGGCCCCTGGTTCAGTTTGATGCTCAACCTCTGGCCTCGCCGGCCAGGCTGCCCGAGGATCCTAACAGACTCTTAAAAGAACTGTCTATCCCGGCCCGTGTGGCTCAGTGGGTGAGCGTCGGTCGACCTATGAACTAGGGGTCATGGTTCGATTCCTGGTCGGGACGCGTGCCCGGGTTGTGGGTGATCCCCAGTCGGGGTGCACACAGCAGGCAACCGGTGGTTTCTTCCTCACATCGACGGCTCTCTCTCATCCCTTCCCTGTCTCAGAATCGATAAAATCCCCTGCACGCACGGCGGAGGCAGACGCACGCAGGCGGCCGTTCCCACCTCTCCCGGCCCCTCCTGGCCAGCAGGGCGAGCTGGGAAGTGGCCTCTCAGGCAGCACCCCTGGGGCCCTTCCGCTCTCCCGTCCTCCGTCCTGGCCCCCAGCCCCACGGGGTCAGGGCCGGGTGAGGGCGGTACCGTCGCCGTCGGGGTCCACCGCGTGGAAGTGCGCCCTGCTCTCCTCCACGGCCTCCTGGAAGTGCTCGGCCGTCTTCTCCACGATCCAGCGCTGCATCTCCTTGGCACTGATCCTCCTGTCGCCGTTCACGTCCACCCTGCGGCAGACGGGCCGGGTCAGACAGGGCCTGGGGCCTCAGCCAGGACAGAAGGACACAGGATGGCGGGGGCTCCACAGGCAGCTATGAAACCACCACGAACAGGGACACTGCACCCAGTGGGAACGTTGGGGACGGGGTCGGGGAGGATGCCGGGGACAGCAGGCGGTCGGGGACGCGGCTCTGTGTCACCCCAGCAGGCTCGGGCCCTGGGCAGGCGAGTGGGCTCCCCACGTGCTGCTCGACGGTAGACTCACACCAGCTTCACAGACACAGACCCTGGATGGACCAGAGTCCCAGGCACAGGACGAGGTGAGACGCCAGAGCAGGTGGAGGACAGGTGCCAATGCACCAGGTGGTGACACGTGTGCGCGGCTGCACACACACACACACACACACACACACCCAGAGCAGTGCGCACACGCACCCCCACGGGCAGCCACCCCGGACAGCAGCACCCTCTCCTGCAGGAGAGACCCGCTCCCTGGAGACAGCACTGCGGCCGAGGCAGGGACAGATGACCTGGAGCCCCTGGTCGAGTGAACTGAGTCAGCCTGCTCTTCACATCCCTGAGGGGGCCGTCGGGCAAGGCTCACGGGGTGGCTGCTGTCCCGTCAGCCCCGGCTCCTGACGAATCCTCTCCGGCCCCCCTTCCTCCTGAGCGCTGGACCTCGAAGGCCCGGGTCTGGCCGTGGCCCTCTCCCTAGCCTTGCACCAAGTGCCCAATCTTCCCCTCGATGCCCAGGGCAGCGCACGGATGGCCCGGCTCCTGCTGCCTCAGCTCCCGCTCCCGCAGGGACTGCAGGCGGCGTCCAACCCACCTGCAGCTGCCGGGGCCCCACCAGAGTCTCCCAGTAACGAGCCAAACCTGCCCGGCCCCTCCTGTGTCTGCAGGCTGGGGGCCCATGCCCTCCATCGTCTCCACCCTTGCCAGCCCCTGCGCCTGGTCCCGCTTGTGGAGGGCATGGTGTGCGCCAGGCCCTCACTCCGTCACAGGAGTTTCCAGGCTCACGGGCCCAGCACCAGCTCCGCAAGTCCACTCGCCGTCAGCTCTGTGGACCGCAGAAACCGGAGCCTTCCCCACCCCTCCCGGTCGCTGAGGCCTCATCTAACTGGACTGCGACCTGCTGTGACCGCTCCCGTGACCTTTCCCCACCACCCACAGGGCACATGGGGTGCACCGAGCACACGGGGCGGGCCCTGCTCCAGGCCGTCCCACAGCCCCCCCAGCTGTCAGGCCTCTCGCTCTGGCCTCTCACCCCTCCTAGCCCAGCTTCATGTCCTCAGCTTGACCCCTGTGACCCTGGAAACTCTCCGAGCTGTCTACCAGGCTCAGTCAACGGCGCCTCCTCCACAGCACGTCCCCTCCCTCGCGGGACAGTCAGGATGGACCAGCAGGGCCCCGGAGCCCCGCCCCCGAGGCGCCCCGCCAAAGTCCTTGTTGAGGTGCCCGTCCATCTCCAGCTTCACCCCGTTCAGGTGGTCGGGGGGCAGGATCTCATTGTCCTCCCTGTGGCCGCCTCTGTCGCGGGCAGACGAGTGGTTGGCAGGCCGGGCAGACGTGTCCATCAGAAGGACGAGGCCCAGGAGCCAGAGGCAGCGAGGAGCCAGGCCGCAGCCGGGAGCTGGCCTGGACGCCA